CTGTTCCCTGGGAGAAGAGATTGACACCCACCTCTCTACCCCCTCCTTTCAGGGGAGGGGGCGCCCACCTCTCTACCCCCTCCTTTCAGGGAAGGGGGTACCCCCATCCCTAAATCCTTTCAGGAGGGGGTTATAGAGAGCCAGGAGGTCTCCCCTCAGCCTCCGTTTCTCCAGGCTGAACCCCCCCAGCCTCTCCTCATAAGACTTGTGCTCCAGACCCCCCTCCGTTGCCCTTCTCTCGACTTACTCCATCACCTCAAGGTCTTTCCTGACAGACCCCTCACCAGCTCCGTTGCCCTTCACCGGACTCACTTCAGCTCCTCAAGGTCTTTCCTGGCGTGAGGGCCCCAAAACTGGACCCAGCCCTCGAGATGGGGCCTCCCCAGTGCCCGGTCCTGTAGGACCATCACTGCTCTAGTCCTGGTGGCCACACTATGGCTGATACAGGCCAGGATGCTGGTGGGTTTCTTGGCCATTTGGGCGCACCGCTGGCTCACATCCATCTGGTTATCGACCAACACCCCCAACCGCTCCTCCAGACCCCCGTTTCTCATCTCTGGACGATCCCCCATCCCTAAATCAGCGATGCTGAGGGTGGGGGTTAGGTCCCTGAGGTAACCCATCTCATCCCCCGGTACTTACGGGGCACCACCTTGAAGACCTGGGAGCTGAAGCGCCGCCAGACGTTGGGGACCCCGTGGGAGAAGACGTTGGGGAAGGCGCGCTGCTCGAAGGGGGACAGGCTGTAGGTGATGACATGGCGGACCCGCGCTAGGTTCCCGAAATGAAGACCCATGGCGGCTCCGTGTCACCTTCTTCCCCCCTCAAGGCCTTGGCCGCCGTCCGCCCCGGAAGCGGAAGCGGCATCGAAGATGCCGCTTCCGCTTCCGGGGCAGGCGGCGGCCCCTCCCCTCAGCGTTCCCGCCTCCTCGTGACCGCGTAAAAACCCTATTTAAACGCTCCAATTGTAATAATTTAACCTCGGTAACACATCCCCCGAGTGGGGGGGGGGCTTTAAAAAGGCGAGTCGGCGCCGCTCAATCACCCAATCTTCCCCTCTGCCTCATTAACAGTGAGGAGTATTGAGAGGCCGTAGCTCTGCACGGCTGCTGAGGGTTCTATCCTTGATGAATTTGATGAAAGAGCTCCTAATCTAGAAAAGTAAGTGGTGGTGATCATTCTTGAGGAGGCAGATGAGCACGTGGGCCTGGAAAAATGCTACTAATCCATGTGGTTTTGAAAAGTTTAGCCAAGGGGCAGTAAAAATTGAAGATTCTAAGTGCCCTAAACTCAACTGCCTTCATTATACTGCTAAAAATCACACCCACGGGTGGAGAAGACCCTCACTCAGGTGAAGACTGTTTCTCTGAGCCTGTGTATTCCTAATGGGTTTTGCAAATACAGTGTTGCTCCACATCCTTTCATTTAAAAAAAAAAAAAAGTTAAAAAAAATTAAACCCCTACCAAAGCTGGGGGTTTTAGTGTGTGAGCTCCATCTAATGCCCTCTCAGCTTGGGTTCCCAGCCTGAAACTAGCATTTTTGGGGGAAAAAAAAAAAACAAACAACCTAGAAAAGTCCAGGAGAAAATAAATCAATTGTAGTAAAAATTTGATTTGAAAGCATATAGAGTTAAGGCACTGTCACCTACAGTCTTTTTGTGAGAGGAAATGAGGCTGCGGCCCCACATTTTCAGACTAAACCAATTTAACAGCATTTAAATCAACTAATCTAAAAGGCTTCTAAAAACTTTTTTTTTTTTTAAGCTGAAAGCATGGACCATTTCTTGTCAATTTCGATGCAAGTGGCAGAGCAGTTCCACGTGGAGGATCCTGCACCCTCACCCTGTGAGCAGCTTGTGATTTGTTCTTAGACTGGATCAAGCCTTTCTGTTTGTAACACTCCCCAGTAAGCTGGTGCCAGTTCTTGCTCAAATACTTCAGTTATTTAAATTTTTACAAGTTATGACACACCTGTCCTTAAATCCTTACTCCCCAGTGGCTGAGAAACCCAAAAACGTGACAGAAGAACAGCAAGAAACAACCTGGTAACTTTTTACAGAACCGTAAAGAAGAGTTTTCTTCATCCTTGGGGAAAGTGGAAACGCGCTAGGGAAATGGGATGAAAAACTGAGAAAGTAATTTGAACATTAAAGACTTTCCTCTCTCCCTGGAGACAGCACACAAGGGATTTCTTTATGTAGAGGAAAACCAGCAGGCACTGAATGTGAGTGGTATGCATGAGAGGCATTTATTTCTTTTTTTTAAATCTATAAGAAAACAGCTTAAAATAGACATCTGGTAGTTGAAACCTTTTCCATATTTTAAATGCAAAATTACCCCAATAAAAAGATATTATTTACATTTAATTTCACATTCTAGAAAGGCTGAGTGGCTACAAAAATAAGTGCTACGATGCAAACACCCTCTGCTTAACTCCACGCTCAATCCCAGCGGGTTCTGTAGCACTCTTAGAACGACGCAAACGCCGTCGGGTGGGTTACAGCTACAGACAACGTTGAGAATGCAAAAAAATACCCAAACCCGGAGTAAAACCAAGGAGGGGCCGCCCGCTACCGACAAGTGCACTTGGTAGCTATCATGTCCTCGTACTCTTTGTAGACGATGGAGCCGTCGGGCTCGATGGTGAGGACGCTGAGGGGGCTGTACTCGGCAGGGACACAGGAGGGCTTGGGGACGGAGGAGTCCAGTTTCTCGTAGATGATGTTCTGGACCATGGTGTGGACGGGAGAGCCGTAGCGGTGCCCCACCACCCTGGGGCAGTCGCCTTTGCAGTACTGGGGGCTGTACCTGTGGGGGGCTATGATCCACCGGTCCCACTTCAGCTGGCTGAAGCTCAGGCGGAAGTTGTGAAGCTCACACTCGTTTTGGGGGAAGAGAAACTGTTTGAAGTATTCGCTCAGGTTATGGGGTGGAGTTGCTGGTGCTTCTTTCAGATTCCCGTCTCTTCGGCGTCGAGAGGCCCTTCCGCCCTGTGAATTCTCTTTTCCTTTGTCACCTGTAGGATCAACACGTGGACTGTTCCTTTGCCTGGGCCGCACTGGGTTTTTCCTTCTGTGCCTAAGTGAGTTCCACCTGTGATAAGCCTGCTCACTGGTATCGTTCAGATAAAGAAGAAGAGAAGGGGGAACCAGTGCCACATTAATGGGATTTTCCAGTTTAGTGTTCTGTTGTGGATCACCCATCAGACAAGTGAAGTTCACGGCCATATGAATATTCCTCCTGTTAGTAGCGATTAGAGGCTGGAGAAAAGAAGTCACGTCAATCTCAACCCACTTGCGTTTTCTAACTTCGAAGTGCAGGCTAAAAGCTACAGAGTGCGAAACGCTGGGACATACTTGGCTAGAAAAATCATGCTCCTTGACAAATAAATGGCACATGCACGTAATGGAAGAAGAAATGGGAAGTGATGTGTCAAAGGAATAGAGCAAGACAGACTTGAGTAAGTGCTCGAGAGCAGTAACACGATCCAGGTTGAAGAGTAAATCCACTGAGTGAACGTCTCCTGAGAAGGGAAACAAAATCTTGTAGAGTTAGTGCATCTTAATTTTCTCCCCCAGACACAAACACTATCACATAGTGGGTAAGTAGACAATACTCAGCAGCAGCAGAAACAGGTGTAGATGCCCTCCCTTACTTTTATTATATGGAATTCCTACTTCGTTGTGTCAAAGGAATAGAGCAAGACAGACTTGAGTAAGTGCTCGAGAGCAGTAACACGATCCAGGTTGAAGAGTAAATCCACTGAGTGAACGTCTCCTGAGAAGGGAAACAAAATCTTGGAGAGTTAGTGCATCTTAATTTTCTCCCCCAGACACAAACACTATCACATAGTGGATAAGCAGACAATACTCAGCAGCAGCAGAAACCAGTGTAGATGCCCTCCCTTTTATTATATGGAATTCCTACTTTGGGCAGGGACATAAGATTTAAAAGTTAGGAAATTATAACAAAATCAAGAAACCCCATCATTTTTAGAGGTAGTAGGATTCATTTCAATGAAAAAAAACCCAAACAGGAGGAAGTTACAGCTATCTTTTCAGTGTTGATATGGGGAAACAGGAACTGGACACTCCGAATCATACAAGCCATGAAAAGCAATAGCTCAAGTTTTAAAGGGAATGCTTTCAGAGCTTTCTAGCATTAACTCCAGTTATTCTGCCTACTCACATACTTTTTTCCTATTTAAATCTCTTGACCAGTAGCTGCGAGAAAGTCTGAGTAATGACAAAGCAGAAATTTTTTTCTTAGCACTATTTAAAAAAAATAATCATTGTTTCATGAGTGTCATTTTGCTTTTCTATGGAACAGAACCAGAGCTTTCAAGTTATTCTGAACACACATTTCTGGTGCATTCACCCCTACTGTAAGATACACTACTCTTATCTTTGCCCCAATATTAAGAATTTTTATGGCATTCTTTGAATCTGCTCCGATTTACATCTTATTTTCAGATTGATGAACCCATTTCCTGGCCTGTTTTCCAGATGTGGACATAGCATATGTTTATTATATTGCCTTTTTTTTTACTACTCACCACTGTATTTTTTCTGTGAATTAAAAATTGTTCATTTTTGGCCACACAAATGCATTAAGTGACCTCTTCAAACTTACACAGGCCAAATAATCAGAAATCAGATGAGGGCTCTGTAGACCTTGACTAAGCTTATGTTTCCAGTATTAATGTATTTTTCTACAATTATGGATTTGAATAGCCTCAAGTAATTGTAGGAAGTTGGTTCAGATTTGGGCTGCTACTTTAATTATTTAGCATATATAGTCATGAGAGTCACTGTTAGTTGTGGGCATATTTCTGAATCAGTAGATTATATTATGCCAGGGAATTTTAGTCATGAACATTGATATTTATTTTATTTTTCCACAGTGAATACTTCTTAACTGAACCTCCATCTCAGTGGGATTCTGGTGGTGTGTCCCACGTGTCATTACAGCACTAGGTTTTTATGGCCGATGTTCTGGACCATGGTGTGGACGGGAGAGCCGTAGCGGTGCCCCACCACCCTGGGGCAGTCGCCTTTGCAGTACTGGGGGCTGTACCTGTGGGGGGCTATGATCCACCGGTCCCACTTCAGCTGGCTGAAGCTCAGGCGGAAGTTGTGAAGCTCACACTCGTTTTGGGGGAAGAGAAACTGTTTGAAGTATTCGCTCAGGTTATGGGGTGGAGTTGCTGGTGCTTCTTTCAGATTCCCGTCTCTTCGGCGTCGAGAGGCCCTTCCGCCCTGTGAATTCTCTTTTCCTTTGTCACCTGTAGGATCAACACGTGGACTGTTCCTTTGCCTGGGCCGCACTGGGTTTTTCCTTCTGTGCCTAAGTGAGTTCCACCTGTGATAAGCCTGCTCACTGGTATCGTTCAGATAAAGAAGAAGAGAAGGGGGAACCAGTGCCACATTAATGGGATTTTCCAGTTTAGTGTTCTGTTGTGGATCACCCATCAGACAAGTGAAGTTCACGGCCATATGAATATTCCTCCTGTTAGTAGCGATTAGAGGCTGGAGAAAAGAAGTCACATCAATCTCAACCCACTTGCGTTTTCTAACTTCGAAGTGCAGGCTAAAAGCTACAGAGTGCGAAACGCTGGGACATACTTGGCTAGAAAAATCATGCTCCTTGACAAATAAATGGCACATGCACGTAATGGAAGAAGAAATGGGAAGTGATGTGTCAAAGGAATAGAGCAAGACAGACTTGAGTAAGTGCTCGAGAGCAGTAACACGATCCAGGTTGAAGAGTAAATCCACTGAGTGAACGTCTCCTGAGAAGGGAAACAAAATCTTGTAGAGTTAGTGCATCTTAATTTTCTCCCCCAGACACAAACACTATCACATAGTGGGTAAGTAGACAATACTCAGCAGCAGCAGAAACAGGTGTAGATGCCCTCCCTTACTTTTATTATATGGAATTCCTACTTCGTTCAGGGACATAAGATTTAAAAGTTAGGAAATTACAACAAAACCAAGAAACCCCATCATTTTTAGAGGTAGTAGGATTCATTTCAGTGAAAAAAAAACCCAAACAGGAGGAAGTTACAGCTATCTTTTCAGTGTTGATATGGGGAAACAGGAACTGGACACTCCAAATTATACAAGCCATGAAAAGAAATAGCTCAAGTTTTAAAGTGAATGCTTTCAGAGCTTTCTAGCATTAACTCCAGTTATTCTGCCTACTCACATACTTTTTTCCTATTTAAATCTCTTGACCAGTGGCTGCCAGAAAGTCTGAGTAATGACAAAGCAGAAATTTTTTTTCTTAGCACTATTTAAAAAAAATAATCATTGTTTCATGAGTGTCATTTTGCTTTTCTATGGAACAGAACCAAAACTTTCAAGTTATTCTGAACACACATTTCTGGTGCATTCGCTCCTACTGTAGGATACACTACTCTTATCTTTACCCCAATATTAAGAATTTTTATGGCATTCTTTGAATCTGCTCCGATTTACATCTTATTTTCAGATTGATGAACCCATTTCCTGGCCTGTTTTCCAGATGTGGACATAGCATATGTTTATTATATTGCCTTTTTTTTTACTACTCACCACTGTATTTTTTCTGTGAATTAAAAATTGTTCATTTTTGGCCACACAAATGCATTAAGTGACCTCTTCAAACTTACACAGGCCAAGTAATCAGAAATCAGATGAGGGCTCTGTGTAGACCTTGACTAAGCTTATGTTTCCAGTATTAATGTATTTTTCTACAATTATGGATTTGAATAGCCTCAAGTAATTGTAGGAAGTTGGTTCAGATTTGGGCTGCTACTTTAATTATTTAGCATATATAGTCATGAGAGTCACTGTTAGTTGTGGGCATATTTCTGAATCAGTAGATTATATTATGCCAGGGAATTTTAGTCATGAACATTGATATTTATTTTATTTTTCCACAGTGAATACTTCTTAACTGAACCTCCATCTCAGTGGGATTCTGGTGGTGTGTCCCACGTGTCATTACAGCACTAGGTTTTTATGGCCTTGAAAAGAACAGAACCGTGAAGGGCAGTAGAAGGAACACGATGCCCATTACGCCTAACCATTTTTTCCACTTTTCTTATGTTAGTTAAAACAGATTGTACAGTTTTCTCTGACTCACTATAATAAGATGAGTCAGCCGGAAACATCAATAGCATCTTGAACATAGTACCATTTGTGTGGCAGTCCCCAAACCCTGGAGAAGTCTATGTTTAATGCTGTTCAAGGAGAAGTAGGTTATGAAAAACTCCTACTGTTTAACAGAAGGACCATCAGGATTAAAATAGCAACAACTCTAAAGAAGTAAGACATTTTTATACTGTGCTGCAAGCACGGAACACCTGGAAAACCCCCATTTAACCTTGGCAACAGAGGCCACCCCACACCTACCTTTCATGAGGTCCCTGTGGCGGTGCTTGCATTCAGAACACGGAGTGAAGAGTCGAACAGTGTTATAGAGGTGGCTTTTGTTAGCCTTGGGGATTCCCTCCTTGGTCGCAGACATCTTATACAGCCTCTTCATGTACCGAAGGGCTCTGGAGTGGGGCTGTAGCCTGGGGGCCTCGCTCTCCCAGTTCTGGTGTCCCCGGTCAGACAGCACCTTGAGAAGGGGAGGCAGGAGGGCATATCCCCGTCTCACGCCTTTTGGCAGCCGCAGCAATGGGTTCAGCTCAATGGCCGTGTCCTCAGGAGCTACCAACAACCCGGGGGGCTTGTCAGAGACCACGCGGCCCCTGGAGTGGGGGGAACACTGGATGCTTGAAGAAAGCCAGTGAAGACAGCAATAGAAACAAACACAAATTCTCCAAGTGCTCTCCATGCTCTTTAGGGCTGCAGCCAAAAATAATGCCTCCCCTAAAATATTCAAGAAAAAAAGAGCACCTCAGCCCCATCCCTTATATATGTCGCAGCTGTGGGATGGGAGGGAGGTTTCTTCTGATTAGAAGCCAAAGGGAAAGACCTGCAGCTGTCTGCTGAAATCACATCCTTGTTTTTGCTTAGGCCAGAGCCTTTCCCCATGAAAAATCCTTATTCTGAGAGTTAACCTCTTTCACATGGTAAATTACAAACCAAGAGCATGTGCCATCCTCCAGAGGGAGCCGGGGAGACAAGTTAGTATTGGCTACTGTAACTAATTCCGTTTATTCCCAGAAATACATCATGCTAAATATTATTGCTTTTAGCATTAATAAGCTAATTTTAAAAAGAAAGACATTGTTTTTCATTTTCTCACACATTTCTCACATTTAATTTCTCTGTAGACGGTAATATCCACTTGAGAGAGAGGGAGCTGTGACTGTAGAACCATCAAATCCATTTTTGTTCCAGCCCCCAGCACAGATTTACCTCCAGTCTGAGGTAAGGCACCCCAAAAGCAGAGTGCTTTTTCACTCCGTAGCCGATGTCTGTGGAGTGTGCTCTAAAAAACTCTATACGGAGAAATATTGATTGCATCAGAAATATTCAGAAACTCATGTAGCTGAGTGTAACTAAAGGCATGGGTTTAATTTTATTTAATTAGGAAAATACAGGAGGAAAGATTGTTTTCATAACAGGTGTTTTTAATTAGAGCTATGCTATCAATAACCTGGTGAAATGTCACCCATAATCTACCTTTCATATCTTAAGGCTTCTGAGTAAGGATTTCTTATAGGGAGAGTGGTTAATTAACTTACAAAAATGTCAGTCTGGCATTCTTTGATTTGGAGTGGAAGGTTAATTCAGATAACAATCTGTGGTATGAAACAATATAACCTTTTCTGCGAGATGTCTTAAAGCTGATTTGATTATGATAAGAGGGGGATACTGTTGCTTCTGAGGTCAGCTGTGCTCACACTGCTTTGTACAAGGTGATCTGCACTTTGATTTATTTTAAAAATGCATCCTTCAGTCAGGCATCCTTGCACCAAACGAGCTCGTCTGCTCCCTTCCCTGTGGGTTTGAATTAGTCCCACTTTACATTAGTTTCAAACACCTGTAACTGCAGGTTCTGCTGTTCCATGACAATTTAAGTGGCCCTTTAACCCTACGCTCTCTCACAAACCAAATGTGCATTCCTGCTCTCCCCTTTCCACTGGCTTTTGCTGTTATCAGATCTTGTGGTGGGTCCAGTCTGGGAGCTGAAATGGTGGGAAAATAATCCAACTAAAGTGAATATTTGCTTTACCACTGGACAAGTTGAGAACAATTAAGCCTATCTTGAATAATTCTGAGCTCAACAGGGCATGAGTGGTACTCCTGTATGATAAAAGCATAGGAAATCCTTAACTGTTATTTTGTATGGTTAGTGTCAAAGTAATCTTACATATTTTTATACGTACATTGCATTGAAGAGGGCATACTTAAACATGTAGCTTTTGAAAATTGTACTTAAGTAAACTGAAAAATTGATTAAAGAGGTGAATGGACATGGAGATTTTTAACTGTAGATTTAAACCTAGCCCTGACCAGATGTATCCCACTCTTTTGCATAGTCTAGTGGCCTGATGGTGAAGCTTATCCACGTTTATTAGCTGTCTTGTTGGAAATCTAAGCAGAGAATTCAAAGTCCAAATATATCCAACGTGAACCAATATATCCCTGCAGAGGCACCTTCGCTGGCTGTAGTGAGAAGGAAAAACCAAATGCAAACTGCCTGGGGGTTCACTGCCCAACGCTGGGAACTGCTGCAGTTATGGCTGGAGGCCACCAACACAACTGCTCCTCATCTCCTGCTCAGGCTCAATGCTCATTGCCATCCCGGGATGCTCTGAGGGAGAAGGAGGTTAGATCTTGTTTATTTCCTGGGGTCTGAATGGGTTAGATGCTGTGGAGGCTTTTAAAGGATTTTACGGCTAAGTTTTCCCATTTTTAGTAAGTGGTTGGTCTAGACCTGTGGAAATGTTTAATAGGCCACTTGGTTTGACCGTGGTGTTGCCTACTCGACCCTTTAGAAATGTGGTAATTTTGAGTGCATAAATAGTAGCTGAAATGTTCTGGGAGCAGCTGTAGGCATGTGGGATTCCTTTCATTACTGAAGACTTAGAGTCTTCACGTGAATGTATTTATAACTTTAGGCAGTTCTTGAGCAGCTTCTAATGAAGTGGACTCCCTGTGCTCTGCAGCAGGCTGTAATAAAGAGGGAGAAAACTGGGGTTTATGTTGCTGTTGATTTTTACCTCTGAAAGGCAGTTCCCCTGCACAGATCACTGACCCAGATGGGTCCCAGCACTCCCTACGTGCAGAACTGACACCCAGTGATTGTGGGGGAGCCAGGAGCTGGAGGGGGATGAAAGAAAAGAGAGACCCCTGTCAGCTCCAAAGCCAGTTTATCATCCAAGCTGTGACTGTTTACAGGGCTTCAGGTTTCTCAATGCTTGGACACATTTGCTGAGGAGTTACAAATTGCAGCTGTATTTGAGTGAAGATCCTGGCACAGCTACACTTAGAGGAAGTTACACACACCCGTGCACGAGCATTTAAGATGTTAAAGACTCATTTAGTAAAACACAGTGTCCAAGGAGATTAATTTCATCATATCTCTTTAAGATCCAGACCATTATTAGATTGTTTGATAGCCTCATGTTTTATATATCTTAAATATTTATTTTATTATTAATTAGAATTAATAATAGCAGCAGAAACTATGTTTTCCTTTTTTCCCTGGGAAATACCGAGCAAGTACCTAGTCTGTACTCCCACAAACTACTAATAATTTTCAAATTCCTATAAAACAGAGCTGAAAAATGTGTAGCTTAGCCCTGTAACTAGATAATGACGTTTGTTTCCACACAACAGCAAAAGCATTAATCACAGGTATAGCTGTTATGCCCCGATAAACAAAGTGTTTTCATTTTGGCTCGCTGAGCTGACTCCGTGAACTTTGAAATATAAGAAGTATCAGGTGCTCTCTGCAAGGCCCATTAATAATGTTGCAGAAACTTCGCTAACGGCCCGTGCAGAGGAACAGCTGAGCTAGGTGTCTGCTCTACAGATGTCAGCTCTAGCCATTTCCAACAATTTAAAAAGAAGAAACATTTCCTGTTACTTCTAATAGCTTCTTCCTGCCATAAAAACCACAAAGATCAAACGAGTTATTTTAAAGAACCAGTGCGTATATACATATGTCGTTGTTTGACGAGACAGAATCAGAGCTAGAAAACTATGTACCAATGGTCTTACGACTCCAGTGTCAAACAGATTTTTTTTTTAATCACTGATGAGAGCAGCCCATAATCAAGTCAGCCCGTTTTTTCTCCTGGAGCGTAACACCAGCGATCTCTTCAACTGGTGAGAGCCAGAAGACCGGGCTGTGTTTGTCTCTGTTCCCGTCTGCCCTCTGGTACCTGATCCTTACAGCACCCCCCCGAGTCTCTGTGCTCACACCTGCCATTTGAGCTGGTTTTCACACAGGCAGGGAATGAGATTTTCCCCGTTTATCGTATTTGTAATTGTCCCACAGAAGACTTATTTTCCTAGCCAGAAGACCGGGCTGTGTTTGTCTCTGTTCCCGTCTGCCCTCTGGTACCTGATCCTTACAGCACCCCCCCGAGTCTCTGTGCTCACACCTGCCATTTGAGCTGGTTTTCACACAGGCAGGGAATGAGATTTTCCCCGTTTATCGTAGTTGTAATTGTCCCACAGAAGACTTCTGAAAGGTCAGCCTTCTTGAAAGGCTTGGAAAAGAACTGAAATGTTCTAGACATAGATATGAGTTGTGGCACTTGATGGACAGTTTATGAAATCCTAGAGGTCCAGAGAAGGGCAACGGAGCTGGTGAGGGGTCTGGAGCACAAGTCTGGTGAGGAGCGGCTGAGGGAGCTGGGGGTGTTCAGCCTGGAGAAAAGGAGGCTGAGGGGAGACCTTCTCGCTCTCTCCAACTCCCTGAAAGGAGGGTGTAGCCGGGGGGGTCGGTCTCTTCTCCCAAGGAACAGGCGACAGGACTAGAGGAAATAGCCTCAAGTTGCACCAGGGGAGGTTCAGATTGGAGATAAGGTAAAACTTTTACACCAAAAGGGTTATTAAGCCTTGGAATGGGCTGCCCAGGGAAGGGGTTGAGGCGCCATACCTGAGGTATTTAAAAGATGGGTTGACATGGTGCTTAGAGACATGGGTTAGTGATGGTTTTTATCAGTTAGGTTGATGGTTGGACTCGATGATCTGAAAGGTCCCTTCCAAGCCAGACAATTCTATGATTCTATGATACTTTACATCATCCATGTGGTGACTGGGGAAGAATGTAGATATCCAGTGCTAAAGGCACACACCATTCGACCTGCTAAGGAAATACCCCCTGGAAAACTGGTGGGTTTCTCCTTGTTGTAATCAGATATTCTTTAAAAAAATAATGAGAGCTCATTCTCTGAAAAGAAACAACAGCTGCAGAAAAGAGCTACTGTAGGGAGCAGAGACGGTTCCTGGAGGGGCCCTTCAGAAGAGGGACACCTCCATTTACATTATTTTTGGTCTGTGTAGCATCTAATGGGTGTGCAGCAAAAATGTAAGAGTTAAGGTTTTGGTGTGCACTGTTTGCAAAGCATCAAATCCGTGACATTGACTTATTTTACATAGATCTTTGAAAAGCCATTCTGGGGAAAGTTTTATGCTCGCTTACAAATACAGCATGACTGTGTGGAACCTGGATGAGGTAATCTTTTAATGTGGTTACGTTTTTATGGAAATGAAACTCGTGAAGTTCATAAACAGAACTGTTATTGTTTGCACGTGCTGTTTCTGTTACAGGGAGGTGCTACACACGCACCCATAAAATGTGCCTTTCAGGTCAGGTTTCAGGATCCCTTTAATCCAGTCTGAGTCTATTGGGGTGGGTTCTGCCTTTTCCTCCTCACCTTTTGGCCTTTTCCCCTGTGTTGGTGGAGCAGTTTTCACCAGGGCTGTGAGCGGAGTGACCCGCTCAGATTGAAGCTGTGGGGCAGCCTGGGAGGTGCTCTGTGTCAAGGAAGAAGGTTGGAGGTAGTGACCTGAAAATATTTGGAACAAGCTATTTTAAAACCTTGGAAACTGGGATCTTATGTTGGGTATTGTTCCTCTTGGTGTGCTGGTGTGGGAGGCTGAGTTTGCTAAGCTTGTTATTACTGCTTCCAGCCTTCCTGCTGTATTTTCCTGCCTGGCAAACCCTTGTTTATGAACTGGAGAGCAAAGAAAACCCTGAAGGATAAAAATTGTGAAAAATGGAGAGCCTGCTGCTGTTACCTCAAACCTCACCTCAGACAGCGTACAGGGCAGGTAAGTTGCTGTTTATGCAATGTGATCTCAGGTTTTTGGTTGGTTTGTGGGTTTGTTGGGTTTTTTTCCAAAATGTTTTTATTGTTTCCAAATAAAATAACAGTTCTGGCCATTCTTGCAGCATCTCTGCCGTGGGGTTCAGTTGTGGCTGTAAAGTAGGAGCTGGGAAATTGTGTTTTTCATTTTGTTGAGGTCTTGTTTATTTTCCACTACTATCTGATATGGTTAAGATGCAAGTCCTTATGTGACTCTTGGTGAGAAAAAGCACTAATTTAGCTTAAAACTACCGGAAAATAAATTCCAGAATGCTATTCTTTTCTGGTCTCTCCATTCTCATACGTTATACACGGATATGCTCCTGGTATGTGGCTGTGTGTTGGGTTTGTGGTTTGACTCGATGATCTTAATTCACAGAATTCACAGAATTGTCTAGGTTGGAAGGGACCTTAAAGATCATCTTGTCCAACCGTCAGCCTAACTGACATAAATAGACACCCACACAACAAACAAGAAGCATCATCACTAAACCAGACCTCCCAGCACTACATCAACCCGTCTTTTGAACACCTCCAGGGATGGGGCCTCAACCCCCTCCCTGGGCAGCCCATTCCAATGCCTGAGAACCCTTTCAGGGAAAAAATTTTTCCTAATATCCAGCCTGAACCTCCCCTGGTGCAACTTGAGGCCATTTCCTCTTGTCCTGTCGCCTGTGACTTGAGAGAAGAGACCGACCCCCACCTCTCTACACCCTCCTTTCAGGGAGTTGGAGAGAGCAATATGGTCTATTCTTTTCTGGTCTCTCCATTCTCACACTTTATACATGGATATGCTCCTGGTGTGTGGCTGTGTGTTGGGTTTGTGGTTGGACTCGATGACCTTAAGTGTCTTTTCCAACCGAAACGACTCTGTGATTCCCTCCTGCGAGCTGTCCCTGTGCCTTAGGAGCCCTGTGCTGGCGGCGAGTCCTCGCCCACCGCGGCAATTGGTGGTCTGGGGTCTGTCCGTCCGTCCGTCCGTCCGTCCGTCCGTCCGCTCGGTCTTTGCAGGGATTTTCCTCTCTTTCCCCGAGAAAAGCCTCTCCCCTGCCGGCAGTTTGAGGTTCATTACCCTGACCCCACCTCCGTGCCTCCCCCTGGGCAGGGCTCTCCCCGCCACCTTCCCGGGATACAAGTAGCCCCGGCAGCGGCGGGAGCGGGAGTTTTGTCCGCGATGTCCCCGGCGGTGGCGGTGGCCGCAGGGCTGGCACAGCTGGCACAGCTGGCACAGGCAGCGCAGGGGGGTCCAGGTAAGTCTCTCCCGGGGGATGGGGGGGTCTCTCGGGGACGGCTTTGTCCCCGCGGATCTGGCAGAGGAAAAAAGCTACAGCCCAATGTACGCTGGCGGGGATCATCCGTGTGATAGAAATTACACTGATTGCTTCTAATTAATTACTGTAACCGAGCGCACCCGGCTGGAAGCGATCGGCCTCTGAGAAGGGGAATGGGGGCTGCGGAGATGGAGGGGTTTGGGAATGCTGGGGG